AAAAAAAAAAAAAGACATTACTTTTTTTTACAGGCTCAAGTTTACAGCACATCTCTAGAGTTGATTCATCTTGCTTAACTGAAAATTTTTGTTATTTTTGATTAGTAACTGCCTATTTGCTGGCATGGCCAGCTCCTAGTAACCATCATGCCACTCCTTGAATCATGAATTTGATTTTTTTTTTTTTTGCAGTTTTTTTTTTGAACCTGCCACCTCTGGCATATAGGGCTGGCACCCTACTCCTTTGAGCCTCAGGAGCCTCCCTTGATTATTTTAAGTACCTCGTATAAGTGGGATCGTGTAACATTTGTCTTTCTGTGACTGTCTTACTTCATTTACCTATGTTGTCTTCAAGGTTTATCCATGTGATTCCTGACATTTCTTCCTCAACACTCCTGAATCAATGCTCTCAAGGAATTTAACAGAAATCAACTAATTCTGTTGGAAATATTTGAGAAATGAGTATTTTTTAATTTCTACATATTCCAGGTTACAGAAAAAAAATTATATTCTAATCCTTTTTATATAATGAAAAATAAATTTATCCACAAGACTTAAAATAATATAGGAGAAAGACACTTTACTATTATTTATTATCTGTGATGAATTGTGAATTTCCTTGAAGAGGGAATTGTATTGGGACATGCAACGTTACTATCAGGGGAGTTGTTATATAATTTCCCAGTGATAAGGGATTCTGTGACTTCCACAAGGTGTCAAAAATATCTGCAAAAAATATGCAAACCAAAACACTGAGTTACTTACATGATTTCTTTTAGTTTTGATCAGTCTGAGACACTTGGACGTGTCTCATACTTGGTGCCACATGGATGTATCCAACCGTTTCTAAGTCCCTAACCTTTTGTATTTGCTTAATGTCACCAGTCATCAGGTGGAAAAACGGAAATGCAACACTGCCACGTGTGCCACACAACGCCTGGCAAATTTTTTAGTTCGTTCCAGCAACAACTTTGGTGCTGTGCACTCGCCTACCAATGTGGGATCCAATACATACGGCAAGAGAAATGGAGTTGAGGTTTTAAACCAAGAACCGCTGCATTACCTACCCCTTTAGAGATGGATGTACCCTGACAGTTCTTACTGGTTCATGTTCAGATACACGTAATTTCCTGTATACTTTAACAGTGCCTTTTTCATTTCTAGTGTGAATATGAGTCTGTGTATCCTATGTTTGTTCCCAGTGCATATGCACAATCAAACAATTGTTTTGAATAGATCACTCATTAAGACCCCATTATAAAAAGACAATTTTAAAACAAAATGTTCTTTCTATAGATTTTTACTTTAAGAACAAAAAGTTATTTTCTTAGCCATATGATTATGCTCTGAGAAGACAAAATGGTAATTTGAAGCTCGGTACATTGTAAACAGCTAATAGTAATTATTCTAGAGATTAGGAAACCAGTCATTGTGCATACCCTTGTTAAGTTCTTTTTGTGTGTTAGATTTCTGAAATGAGATGCTGTTTAAAAAATAAACACATAGGCTCGGCGCCTATAGCTCAACCGGCTAAGGCGCCAGCCACGTACACCTAAGGTGGCGGGTTCGAATCCCCAGCCCGGACCCGCCAAACAACAATGACGGCTGCAACCAAAAAATAGCCGGGCGTTGTGGCGGGCGCCTGTAGTCCCAGCTACTTGGGAGGCGGAGGCAAGAGACTCGCTTGAGCCCAGGAGTTGGAGGTTGCTGTGAGCTGTAATGCCACGGCACTCTACCCAGGGGGAAAGCTTGAGGCTCTGTCTCAAAAAAAAAAAAAAAAAATAAAAAAAAATAAACACATAAAATCCTGTTTCTGACTCAATCAAAATACTCTTTAAAAATTTTATTCTTTGTTATATTTGCTGGTATTGAGGGGTTATTTAAAAATATGAAAGCAGTTGTTTCCATGAGGGTTTCATTGTGTATCATCAGCAGTGAGCTTTTATTAAATGAATGTGCCCTTTATTCTGTTTAAGTGGCTTTTAACAAACCTCAGTCATATTCGTATTCAGGGTATTGCCAAAGCAACTTGTGTTCTATTAATCATGTCTTCAATTAAAATACCACAAAATTCTGGAAACTGTGTGCTGTATGGCAACTTATTTTCTTTGTTATCCAAATTTTGGAATTTTTCTGGCAGAGGTTATGTGCAGGTGATGCACTTTTTGTGATAACAGGTACAATGCTGGGCATAAGACAAAATGCTTTGCTTTAAGCCAGTTTCTTAGAGTTTCTGCTTTTCCCTGACCGTGAGTTAGGTACCCCTGGAAGTAGCATTAATTTATTTAAACGTCTACCATCCTCATTATAACATTTCTAAAGGCACTCATCTTGTATTTTCTAAAACATAGAAAAAAGAAGCATCATAATCTCAGTGTAATAAATTTTATGCATGAATTACATATTGAAATAAATAAATGAATATATAAATTCCTATTTGTGGTGTTCAACTGTTGGCCCTTCAAAGCGGACTCACACCCAACATTTCAAATTGAATAAGATATAATTAAATTACACTCTCGTGCTTATTTAAAAATTTTCCCACAATAGTCTAAATAAAGTTTTATTGTGTATCACACTTATATACAGAGTGTCCATACAGTGGACACAAACTTTGTGGACACTCTCTATAATATAAATACATATAACAATACGTATTTTATAATATAGGAACCAGTATAATTCAAAATGTATATAAATATTTTTTGTTTATAAATATACATACAGGTTTTTATTTAGCTTTATAATGTATTTCAACTCTCTAACTTTCAAGTATTAACAAAATCTTAATGTATGCATTGTAATGATGTTCAAAAGCATTCTATATGATAACACACAATTACAAAGAATTAAACAAGAAGGATTATGTATAGTAATCTAACAACCTCTAATACTAAGGATTAGAAATATCAACTAGAAGACTTTTGGGAAGGAAAGAAATTGCTACATTGCTACAGCAGATATTAACTGTAGATTTTATTCTGAAATTTATCCACTCAATTTCTTATCAAAGGGAAACATTTAAACAAATTCAGCATTATCACTTTAGTTATATTGGTATTTGCAGGTCAGTAAGAAATCTAAATATATAAGGTTATGAAGTTTGCTGAAGAACTTTATCTGGTTTCTCACAATTACCTTGTGAAGATAATAATGAGTGTAACTTGATTAAGGTAATTGGAGGCACCAACAGTTAAGATTTTGGCGACTAAATTTATCCCAATCTTTTTCATCTGCCTATGGTATATGAAGCCCTGGGTACCATTGAGAAACCTAAGAGTGAGTTAGTTAAGCTTCCAAGAACTTATTTGCTATAAGTACATGCTACCAATATATTTTATTGAACATGTAGAAATACAAAGGATTTCTTTCTGTTCCATCTTGCTATACAGAGTCAAAACAAAGAATGTATTTATTAATACCATGTATTAAACATATAGAAAATCTCTTGAGCCTTGCAAGAAGACATAATGCAACGAACTTCTTGCTTTTCTGTATAGTATGTATCATTACCAGGAAATATTACACTTAAAGAACTCCTTTTAGTTGAGGGTAGAAAAGCTTTGTAAGCACAAAGATTCTTTGGTTAATATGCTGCTAGAGTATAGACTAAGGCTTTTAATATCAAGTAGGACAAAGTCTTCTTTTCCTGTTCATTATCTCCCTGTCACATACACACTACCCAAAGCTATGAAACAATCTTATTTATAGTCAATGAATCTGTAATAGACATTATGAATGCTCTCCAATCTCCTTCCCGCCCAGAGCATGTAAGAATTTCAGCTCAGAATGCAATTTCAGTTCTCAGCCCCCTTGCATTCAACTGGGGCCATTGTGGCCAAATGAAATATTAGCAGAAGTGATGTGTGTCACTTTCAGACAGACTCAGGGGTTAAAAGCCTATATGAAAATTTTCAGTCTTTCTCTTTCATCGGCTGCTGCAGTTACTGAGGGGGAGGCTTTGCCCCCGAGTAATTACATGGAGAAGGATGTTCCTCCTGGTGTGTTTGGACATAAGATATAACCATGAAATTAACCTCTGCGGTTTTATTTCTACAGCCTAACCCATAATACATATTCAAAATCAAACTTTTCATCCTACTTTCCAAATCTGCTTCTCCTGCTAACTTCATTATATTTAATAATAACATAGCCATTCTTCCACTATAATTCAGCCTTGAAATCTTGGCATTATCTCTACTACTTGCTCAAATTTTTTGTTTCACATATTCAAATCAATTACTACAACATATGTGTGTGTATATGTGTATACTTATATGTTATAGTAACTGATTTGAATACGTAAAACATAGATGTAAATATAAATATATAAATATATATATATACACACACACATATAAAAAAATGCACACCCACATACATATATTCTAAAACATGGTTGTCCAACCTTTTTTCTTTCCTGCCATACATGGGAGAATAAGAGTTGTCTTGGGCCACACATCTATACACTAACACTAACAAAAGGTGATTAGCAAAAAAAAATGGCTAATTCATACTTTTCATGATATTGGACACTATAGGTAAACAAAAAAAAAGACTTCGTAAAATCAGCATGTGGCCCACAGACTGCAGGTTGGACACCCCTGTTCTAAAGCCTCCTGTTACTGTAATAAGTTTCTCTTTTTTTACCCCATCAACAATATAACTCTGGCCCTCTTTGCTACAACAGTCTGCCAATAATGCTCCCACCTCTGATTGTTTTTTCATACTTTATGCCAATAGCAGAATAAGTTTCCAAATGCAGATTTCTTACTATGTACCGTTTCTGCACAGAAGATCATAAGGTCTTGACGTTACCTACTAAAATACACCAAATTTATGTTTGACATCTGAGTCTCTCTATAAATTAACCCCAGTCTGTTTTTCCAGATTTCCCTCTATTCATTTCTCTTTGTATACTTATGCTTCTGCCAAACTCATTAGTGGTTTTGTTTCTATTAAATGGATATCATCACATTCTCCCTATTTCCCAGTCTCTGTCTCTTGCATTCATTCCTTTCAAGTTGAACAACTGTACTCAGTGTAGAGTTTTGAAATTTTTCAATGACAAAGTTATCAAGAATCTTTTATTATTTTATTTTTGAGACAGAGTCTCAAGCTGTCACCCCAGATAGAATACCAGACGTCATCATAGCTCACAGCAACCTCCAACTCTCAGGCTCAAGTGATCTTCTTGCCTCAGTTTTTCTATTTTTTAGTAGAGACAGGGTCTCATTCTTGCTCAGGCTGGTCTCAAACTTCTGAGCTCAAGCAATCCATCCACCTCAGCCTCCCAGAGTGCTAGGATCATAAGTATGAGCCACTACACCCAGCCTAAGAATCTTATTACTCTACCAATTAATTTCTTCACCCACTGAGCTCTAACAGCACACATTGAGGGTATCTTTTATATTCAAAAGCAATGTGCCATTAAACTATTATATTTTTATTATTTAGTTTGTATTAAAGTAAATACAAACTAAATAATAGGCTAGGCATGATGACTCACACATATGATTCTAGCACTCTGGGAGGCTGAGGTGGGTGGATTGTTTAGAAATGTTGATCTTGTCATATTTTATAATAGTACATAAGTTTAATTTATGTTAAACATTTATCTTAGGCATGTTTTTCCATGTAACTAAAAATAATAGCTAATTGCTCTGGAATGTGTATGCATAAATTTGTGCTGCTATAACAAGGTAAAAAAAAATAAACTACAGTATGGACTAGAAATTTGAATTTTGTCTCAGCCAGACAGTCTTTGAGCCCTTGGAATGCATCAATACACCAGACAGATCAGACAACATCCCCCATCCTCATGTAACTTGTATTTTAGTTTGGGTACGGTGGTAGACACACCAAAGCCGTGTCTTAGCCACTATGTTACACCACTTCCCCCAACCCAAGGAACTTGTAGAAATCTGCCATCTTCCTTCCATAGTTAGATAAACTAAATTACAAACATTTTTAATATAAAAAGAACAGAATTAGAAGAACACAATCACTATTTCCTAATTTCCATCAACTTCCACATATAGATGTAGATGACAAAACTATATATCTATATCTGTG